GTTACATGAAGAGAAGGTTGTGCCGAGAGAAGAAGTTGTGTATGATAGCAGTGTGTGGTATCTCGACACTGGAGCAAGTAATCACATGACTGGGTGCCGAAGAAAATTCACTGAGCTTGATGAGTCAGTGATCGGAAAAGTTAAGTTCGGCGACGGGTCTGTCGTGGACATCCAAGGAAAAGGCACTGTGATGTTTCAATGTCAAAATGGTGAGCATCGGATCCTCACCAATGTTTACTTCATACCCAAGTTGTGTAGCAATATTGTAAGCTTGGGGCAATTAGATGAATATGGGTGTAAGATAGTCATAGAAGGAGACTGTTTGCATATCTATGATAGAGCTAGAAAATTACTTGCTAATGTGAGGAGATCAAAGAACAGGTTGTACATTCTCAACCTCAAAGCTGCTCATCCAATGTGCTTGTTGGGAAGCCTTAAAGAAGATGCTTGGTTGTGGCACGCCCGCTATGGCCACTTGAACTTTCAAGCTTTGAGAAGTTTAACTCAGAAAGGAATGGTGAAGGGGATGCCTACAGTTGATCACATAACTCAAGTGTGTGATGGGTGTGTCATTGGCAAACATCATCGTACACAGTTTCCCCAAAGCGCAAGTTTTCGAGCTGAGACCCCGCTCCAACTCATGCATGGTGACTTGTGTGGCCCAATCACTCCTACAACACCTGGAGGTAACAAATATTTTATGTTGCTTGTTGATGATTATAGCAGGTACATGTGGGTTGTGATGCTCAAGACCAAAGATGAAGCACTGCATGCATTCAAGAAGGTGAAGGCAAGCGCAGAGATGGAAGCTAATACCAAGCTGAAGGCATTCCGAACCGATAGGGGTGGGGAGTTCACCTCTAAAGCATTCACCCAGTACTGTGAAGACTCAGGCATCAAGCATTTCCTCACGGCCCCATACTCTCCGCAGCAGAACGGCATTGTCGAGCGAAGAAACCAAACTGTTTTGGGAATGGTGAGAAGTTTATTAAAAAGCAAACATGTACCAGCTACATTTTGGGGAGAAGCTGTGATGACAGCAGTATATATATACTCAATCGAGCTCCAACAAAGAGTGTGGAAGGAGTGACACCATATGAGAGGTGGACTGGTCGGAAACCGAAGGTTCAACATCTTCGAGTTTTTGGCTGTTTGGTGCACGTCAAGACTGTGAGTCCATACACAAAGAAGCTGGCGGATAGGAGTGCTCTAATGGTGTTCCTTGGATACGAGCCTGGATCAAAAGCCTATAGAGTGTATGATCCTAATACAAGAAAACTACATGTAAGCAGGGACATAATTTTTGAAGAAGACAAGGAATGGAAATGGGAGTCTTCGGATGTTGAAGGGGATCCCAGATTCAAGTCAAGTGAAGGGTTCACAGTACACTTCAAGTTGGAACAAGCAGGAGCTCGGCAAACCATATCTGACCAGTCACTCAATCGGCCTAGAAATGAAGTTGCATCGACATCAAGTTCGTCGAGTAATGTGCAATCGCTGGAAGGAGCAGAAGCATCAGGTTCACCTGCGTCTTCATCCTCAGCTGTAGCAATTTTGGGGACGCCAGGGAGCTATGATCAGGCACATGACGCAACTGACTACTCACTAGCTCTGAGAGACCTGTCAAGTTTCGATCCCTGCAGGAGATATACAATGACACAGTTGAGATGGATGATGAAGCAGGGCTATGTTTCTTATCTTTAGAAGAACTTGCAACTTATGAAGAAGCAGCAGGCAATGAGAGTTGGAAACAGGCCATGGCGGAAGAAATAGCAGCAATTGAGAGGAATAACACATGGGAATATGCAGAATTACCAAAAGGGCATCATGCTATTGGCTTGAAATGGGTATACAAG